GAAGTGTCTATTCGTGGGTGTGGTGCATGGCTGGGGTTGGTTGATGGTTAGCGCCAGAGTACTGCGAGATATGCATGAAAATGGCGGTAACTTAAGAGGTATACTCCTTAACATAGCATTGGGCGGTAGACATGCCTAATGAAAATGGCATACACGATGCACGAGGTTAGCGGGGGGGTAACATGGGCATACAGTTCAGATGCCGCTAACATTAGCAAACCTAACATACACTAATGCTAGTGAAGTAGAAATGGCATACACAGATGCACAAGGTATCTACTACCAACAATTAGTGGGACCTCAGCCACAACTCAATCAGTACCATCAATGCAATAAGCAGAATGGATGAGGACACTCGAAAATGCGGGTGCACACATGGTCGATTGCGAGATAGAGTCGGGTGGTGGTGGCACGGTGAGAACGTGATCCTTAAGGCACAAATGCCACTCTCGGATGGCCGCATGGTGAAGCGTGGTGGCCCGAGTTAGTAAAAATGGCCGAGGTGGTGCATGTGCCAAGCACGATTTATGACGATATGGTGGAGGTTAGGTGTTAAGCTCGGAGGCTTAGTGAATATCGGAAGGTACGAGTAGCTGAAGTGGTCAGGTACCCGTAGCACTGCAAAATGTTGATGCAGGTATATAATGATTCCAAAACATGGAAACGCGGCACCCGATGCGAGTGGCAGTGTTGGCGAATGAGACCGCCGAAACAGGGTGACAGGGTTAAAAAAGTGTTTTGAGGTGGTGCGTCGATTGGATGAGGGCGCGGGGTGGGATATGGCGCTCAAGTGCAAGAAGCTGGGTGTTTGCATATGGTGGCCAGGTGGTGGAATGGTTCGAACACGGAAGTGTGGTGGCATGGGTGGAGGTGCAGAGTATGGTATGGTGGCCAAAGGTAACGCGGCGGGTAAGAATCAAGAACAGCCCGCAAAGAGCTAGACAAGGCAGCGTGTGATTAATGGTTAGTGACCGGAGTTCAAGCAAGGGCGTCGAAGTAAGGGGTGGTGGCGGAGTGGATGGCCAAGGTGGTGAGAGTCGGTATCGAAGAGGTGATTGGTATTGGTGGGTGGCAAGGGGTGGGTAAGTGGTGCCGATCGTGGGGCTACAGGCCAAGGTGGGTGGTGGTGTGGTGGTGAACGCGTGAGTTCAGGTGCAAGGTGGGTGGTGAAGAGTAAGGTAGTGCAGACGTTGTGGGTGGGGTGCGGTCCTACAGGTAAAGATGAGGATATGGACAGAAGAGCAAGTGCTGAGAAAATGCAAGGTGCGAGTAGCAGCTGCTGACTGCGTCAAACAATGAAGGTATAGGGCTTAGCTCGCTTCATTGAAAGCAAAGTTGGGTAAAGGTGTAAAAAAAAATAAAACTCAAAACTCAAAAATGCGAAACACAGTTTGCTCATATATTATCATTTTCTTTTCTGCGAGCCAAGTTTTATAAAACTGAGAGATCCATTCTTGATTTAATACAGTAATTATCAAAAATTTACCCAGCCGAAGTTTTTATTTGAAATTTTTGGTACAAATATAAATAGAAAAATGGTGAAAAACGTAAGTGTTACCCAAACGGCACCCGCTAATATATTTTGATAAAGTTAAAAGCCCTGAAAATTAAAAATTTAAGTATTGAAAGCTGAATGTTAAATTTTTTTAAGCCTAAAAATTTGTTAATAAAAATTAAGTGTCTTAAACTAAAAAAATAAATATTAATATGTATTAAAGATTAAATTTTTAAATTTATTCCCTTTTAAAATTATAATATTTCCCAATTTTTATATTTGTGAATGGTTGGTGGTAGGTTGTGCCCAAAACGGTAGGGTAATAGTGCCGAATTGATGATGGTGTGGACATAGGCCCTAAGGGCAGGCGGCTTTAAGACCAACGAACAGTAGGCATGACAAGCTAGGCCTCCCCAAGAAAATAAGGGCCCTAATGGCATGAATGGAGAAGAGTTTAAAAACACAAAGTAACCGTGCTTAAGAGACGTTGATGGTAGTAGTACCGAATAAGTGGTCGGGTAGGTAAAATGGGATGCAGTGTCGCATGTGACCATATCAAATGACAAATAGAACTGATGATGCACCGCAGTGGTAAGGTGAGTAAGACCCGAGGTAGAGTCCAAACATCGAAGTGCATGATGTGGTAGTGGTGTAGGGGGGGTGTGGCATGGGATGGTTATTTCAAAATCAGTGGGTAGTAGACTTTGAGCTTTTTCAGTGGGCGTGACCGGATTATGATTTATATTTTAAAAGATTTCAAAAGATGTTTCGGGGTTGGTCGCGTACGAAGAGCCATGCCTGGGATCGATCCTGAGATTGAGATGGCGTAATTGTATCCGAAAGTTAAGTGAGTGTGACCGAGAAGTCACCCCGTGGTCGGTCTTGGACCCGTGAAGTTGCACCAACCTGTCATAACTTAAGAAAACTGGGCGAGAAGGATGCAAACACCAAACACCCGAACTGCGGGCTCTCTGAACACTTAAGGAAAGAGGTTCACCAAGCATCGATGCAGGCTTCATAGCTGAGGATCATGTCCGAAAATGAGCACAACCGACATATGAGCGGTTTGGCCAACATCGATCCCAGTGGCTTAGGTGAAAAGAAGTTCGTGCTTTTATGTTTATGTTTAATTTGCGAATTGAAGGCCTTATCGGCAGCCGAACCGGAAACCGATTAGTGTTTTATGATCATCGTGATTAATGTGATTTTATGGTATAATTACCTGAAAACTGATTAGGTATGATTAAATTAGATTGAAATGAGTTTAATTGCAATAGTTGGCTTAATTACAACCTTGCTATCCCTAGTGGATCACTTAGGCAACATACTTGGAGGCTTGTATACTTGTAAACACAACATTTCTTCTTCCATTTCTTGCACACAACCGACCTTAGAGAGAGAGAGAAGCTAGAAGAGTTGATTTCAACTTGTTTCATTGTGAATTGGCTTGAATCTTGGTAGAATTGAAGGTTGATAGCAACATTGACCCATAATCCTAAACCTAAGGCAGATCATTGACCCTCTTTATTGTGTATTTGAGTTTATTCTTGCATGATTAATGGGTCTTTAGTGGTTTAAGGCATGAATTGGTTCAATAGTGTTGAATTGAAGCTTAATCTTTGCATGCATGTTTGAATTGTTGAGTTATGAATTGATTTCATGGTAAAATGTTACATGCATGTCCATATTAGTGCTTAGGACCATGTTTTCATCTTGTTTTTGGAACAATTGGCTCCTTAGAGCATCAAATTGAAGCTTTGAAATGGTTTTAATCCATGCATGCTTGCATGTTCTCCATATTCATGAAATTGGTTTCAAATTGAGTTTGTTTGAAACACCCTTGGGCCTTGATTTTACAAATTGAGCTTTGAATCATGTTAAAGTATGAGTTTTGATGTGTTTTCTGGAAAATTGGCCCAAGAGGATCGAAATTTATGGTTTAAAACTTGGTTTTGAGCTTGAGGTTCAAATCTGGAATTTCCAGAATTTGGACTCACGCTCGAGCGGGGTGACTGGCGCTCGAGCGTGGAAATCGTGCTCCCAGCATTTTGTTCTGTTTTGCAGTCCGCTCGAGCGGAATAATTGACGCTCGAGCGGGACATTGTGTCTCATGCTCGAGCGGGTGTCGAGCGCCCAATCGAGCGTGATTTTCGCCTATCCAGCACTTTTGACTGTTTTGCAGAACGCTCGAGCGGGTAACTCTACGCTCGAGCGTAAACCTTTGTCTGCATGTCCGCTCGAGCGGAGTAACTTACGCTCGAGCGTGACCCCTGTTTTCTGATAAGTCTGAAAATGCTTTTTCAAGTGCATCTTTGCATCCTCATCTCATCCTAGGCATTCTTAGGCCTAGTTTAAGGCATCTTAATGAGGATATAGATGTAGAACCCCACCGAGGCATATTAGGGATTAAGTTAGTATCTTTCACAACTGTGTAGCTTAGTGTGTGTTCAATCTGTAACTGTGTAGGGTTGGCTTTCCGAGGAGACGCGCTCTAGCTTTATTGTAGCCCAAAACTCTGTGAGTAACATCTGTGTAAAGATATGTTCAAAATGATTATCTTCTGAACAATTGAACTGTACTGCTTCTGAATTGATACTGTTAATAGAATGAATGTATGTCCTCTATTCTGAACTGTATTGTGGCATCCTTAGCAACTACTGTTACTGACTGTTACTGTTACAGAGATCTCTGTCGGTTCCCTTGTTGGAACCACTACTGTTTACTGATTGATGGCCATCATTTACTGTTCAGTCTTTTAAGACCTACTGTTTATTGTACTGTTATGCTAATGGATGTACCACATATGACTGTATCGACTGAACGACTGAAATACTGATTTAATGAACTATTTTTATTACTGTAAGGACATTCATTCTTAACCCCTTTATGCATTGTGTTATTCACTGGGCTTTAGCTCACTGCTCATATATATATGTAGGTGTACAGGCACCAGACCGCAACTAGAAGCGTCGGGGTAAACTCCAGTTTTGTCAAGCCAACCTATGTGTCTCAATGTGAGGTTCCGAGCCTGTCAAGCTACGGCTTAGGGGTGTTTTTGATTTCCCCGTCTGTCTCTGTATCTGTTTTGCATAACTGTATAGACTGTTACCGTACTGTTTAATAGGGATTAGGTCCCTGACTGTATGATTGTAAATATGTACATACTGTTTTGTCTGACTGTATATATTTGAATGAAAGTCTTTTTGGCATACAGACTGTCACAGCTCATTGGACATTGTTTAATTACTGTATTGGCTTTCGCCAGCCCCTGTACTCTGTATTACTGTCTTACTGTTAAGCAGGCCTTTGGTAATCTCGGATTACTGGCCGGTTACAGTGCTAAACCCATAGGAGCGGGTTTGGGTCGTGACACTTCCGAACACAAAGGTTTTTCTTTTAAAACCCTTTTTATTTCATGCTCTGAAATCACTCGCTCACTTGAAACACAAACCCTTTTCCTCTGTTAACCCCCTCTCCCTTACCTCTTCCTTGCTGCTTGCTACCAATGGACTCTTCTTCTTTGAAAGTGCTTGCTGGTGATCGTATAAGCCCAACCATAGCTTTGAAAAGATGTATTGATGAAGAGATTGCCAAGTTAACATCTGATGAGTCAAGCGCCATAGACGCTCGCCTCTTTGTTCCTTGTTACAGCAATAAACAAGAATATGTCTTGGGTCCCATCTTTCGAGAGGCTCCTGCCCAACTTCCAGCTTTATACCCTCGTCTGGAGGACCATTTTCTTCTTGGTTTTTGCTTGTATGGCTTGAAGTTAGTCTTCATAAGGAGCCAATGTTCCACTAATGACCTATCTAATCATTATAGTTCATTATAAGACCATGCAAAACAATCTTTATATCTTCTCAGAATAACCAACAACGAGTTCCTGTCAAGAGCATTCAACCAAGCGCTTATATAAATGGGTTGTTGTACAGAACCTTCCCCTAAATTTATTTCTTCTAAAGGGTCTTGTATCTGAGAACTTGCTGAAGCTCCTTCTTTGATTCCTTCTGGCTTCGGAGCAATCTCCTTGCTGTGTTCTGTTCCCAGGTTCTTTGATTCAACCTCTTTACCCTCCTCCTCATAGACAAAGTCTGTCCACAAGGCTTCTTCTTCCTGTATTTCCTTGACTTTTGTTTCAATGTCCAATGCACAGTATTTATCAAGGGCCAAAACTCTGGCTTGTTGCTGCTCCTACTTGTAGCCAATTATCATGACTTCTTTCTCTTGCTCCTGCACTTTCTGGACTATTGACTTTACATCCAATATTGAAAACTTAATTAGAGCCAAAGACTTGGCTTCTGGTGCTTCATCTCTTTGCCTACAACCAGGCACCATTGTCATCTTTAACGACAACCTCTTCATCAGCACTCTCCTGGACTAAGTGCTTCAGGTGTGTCACTTCCTCATCAGCCGTCACTTCGGCTGAGCCATCAGATTTTCTCAGTATACTGAGTGGTGTCACTCCCTCAATATACAACTTGGCCTCTGCGAAGTCTGCGTAGGCTATGAAAGGTTGATGATCTGCATCAATTTCCTCTATCTCTGCATTGCCCAAAGCCATCATTATTTTCTGATGCAAAGAGAAAGGCACGCATTTGTTAGTGTGGATCCAATCTCTACCAAGTAAAGCATTATACTTAGCATTACTGTCGATCACGAAGAACTGCTAGGATACGGGAGAGGAAAACAAGAGATTTTAATCAAGTTAAGTGCATCAAGAGTGAGGATTCTAAGATATTGGTGAATGATGAAGAGATTAAGGAATGATGAAAGAACATGCAATTCAAATACTGTTCATGTGAACATTCATATCAACATTGTGCATAAACAAACCAATAGTCTAGTTGTTACCCTCTTCCATTTGTTGCCAAGTTTGGATTGAGCCAGGTGTAAGGTTAATGTACCATACAAATGCCCCCTCAGTTAGAGAGTTTGGGAACAGTCTCAACTTCATATAGTCATTATTAGTGAATTCATCGCATTGAGCAGCGAACCTAGCGATATGCTCTACTGTTGGCTGGTTCGCTAGAGATTAGAATTGGGTCAATTTCTCGCCCCTCTTGATTCTCATTTCCGGCTTGGAATCCATGCAGTAGTATGTGTACCATGTTCACTGAAACTGAGCCAAATTGGATAACTGGCTGTGTCTGCTTCTCCTTTTGGCCAGCTTGTTCAGTCACTCCAGAAACATCCTCCATGCTGCTCTCTGGTACTTCATCCTTCGAATGGTCTGTCACGACTGGTTTTTCAACCAGAAATGTTTGTTCAGCCATGAAGGCTTCGAACATTTCTTCCTCAACCATTTTTTTCTTTTGGTCCAAGCCAACTTCTTTCTCCATCTCACTGTCACTCTCCATCAATGCCTTTTCCAACCCTGCTAAACTGGACTTCTCTCTGGCTTTTAGTTCAGAGTGAACTTTGGTGCTCTCTGCTGCGACCCATTTTGCCTTGTAGAGTTGGTTTTAGAGTATGGTCTGACTTTGGATTCTTCTTTCCTTCTGTCTGTACCAATGAAGAACTCTCTCGACTCTCTTTCAGGTCTTGCTGGTACTGAGTGTACCTACGCTGAATTTTCCTCTTTTGTGATCTCGAAATTACGGGGACCATATCTGGTTCCTTTGTTTTTGGGTGTTTAAGCAATACCCAATTGTTTGGAGCCACCAAAGGAGGTTTGACCATCCTACCTTGGTTTCCAATTACCTCTTTTTGGGTAAACACTTCCCTAGGTTTGTTCTGCATTACAAACCAATCTGGAACTCTAAGTACCCACGAACTTACTGACCCAGCTGTTGAACTACTTCTTTTTTCCTTCGAAGTCACCCTCGAAGCTGGCCGCGAAGGCCACTGCTTGGCCTTGACTTCATGCTTTGGGCCTAACTCAGGCCTTTGATGAAGGTGTTCACTTTTTGTCCTGCATGAGGCTGGTCTAGGGGGCCAATCTCTGGCTTTGATCCCATAAACTGAACCTCTCTTCAGTCTCCTCTTAGAATGACTGCTCTCCATTTTGTAATAATTAGGTGGCTTGGACTCATGTAAAGGCCTTTTGCCCTTGGAATGAATTCTATCAGCTGTTGGTTCAACCCTCAATGGCTGCTGCCTAACACCAGATGGATATGGCCTTTTATTGTAAGCATTGGTTGGTTTAGGACGTTTCTGCATATCCTTGTAATATTGCTTCCCATCAATTGGAAGTCCTTTCAACCACTTGTAGCTTAGTCTGCACCTAAGACACATCCTTTGCATTGCAGCAGCCTCTAAGGAATCGTCATCCAGTGATTCTTCATCAGAGTCTTCCCTCTGGTGTGAGAAACCTTGTCCAATAGCTGGTAGATTTCCAGTGTCTTTCTTGATGGTTGTCTAGTTGGCCACATGCATCTGCACATTGATTTCTTCCAATTCTTTCAAAGACAGGTTTTGAAAATCTGGCATAATGACATTGGCTGCCACCTCTCCAATTTCTGGAAATGGATTACTGTCGATCCCCATGGCCTTTTCAGCTTTTGCTGGGAATTTCAAACTTCCTTTCCGAATTTGTTCTTGGATCCTGTCTCGAAAAACAATACAGTTCTTAGTTAAGTGAGACCAAGAGTTATGTCATTTACAATATACTTTTCTTTTAAGTTCATCAAGAGATGGAATTTTAACTCATTTTGGTAACTTAAGGAAATTGACCGCAAGCAAATGATCAAAAATGTCATTTGCCTTAGTTAAATCGAAAGAGTATTTCCTGTGAAGGTCTTTCTTTTTAAATTGTTGGTCAATTGTTGTATCCTTATGAATTAATGCTTCACAGATCACAGGTTCCTTCTCCACAATCTCTGCTGCATCGATCTCATAATTAGGATCTCTATAATATGTCTTGTACGATGCATTATTTCGATCTTGTTCCTCCTTTAGTAATACTTCCTATCTAGACACCTTATAAGTGAGTTCCATTAAGTCTCTGAACTTAGTTGAGTCAAACTTCTTTTGAAACCTAAACTCTAAGTCATTTTGAGTCAATCTCACGAATTCTGGCTCTGGCAGGATAACTCTACATTTATTTCGAGCCCTTTTAAATCTGGCAATAAACTGAGTGGCCTTCTCATCAGGCCTTTGACTCAATCTTGCCAAGTCTGCCATGGAAACCTCTGTCTCCGATTGGAAGAATTGGGCATGAAATGCCTCTTCCATTTGTTGCCAAGTTTGGATAGAGCCAGGTGTAAGGCTAATATACCATACAAATGTTCCCCCAGTTAGGGAATTTGGAAATAACCTTAACTTCATATAGTCATTATTAGTAAATTCAACGCATTGAGCAGCAAACCTAGCAATATGTTCCACTGTTGATTGGTTTTCATTCCCATAAAAAAGGGCAAAATCTGGTATCCTAAAATCTCTTGGGTATTCATGTACCATGTCCACCCATTCTGGGTACGGTTTCCTGTACACTGGAGTCTGGACCCCCCGAGCCATTGGTCCACACATCTCTCTAACAATGTCAGTAAACGATGTCAGCAATTTGGTCCCTAGGGACCATATTTTGTGCCTGTTGAACCACTACTAGAGGGGCAAACACAGGATTTGGTGGGTAAACTTGTGTCTGTGGTCCTCTTGGTCCATAAGGTGGTATATTTGGGACTGGTTGTCCCTGCGGTGCAGGTTGCTGTTGGGGGTGTGGGTAACCCCTTTGAGCCTGTCCTGCGAAAGGTGCTAGAACCGGTGTTGTGTCTCTTCCATTTGTAGGAAAACCTTCCAACCCCCCGGGTATAAATTCGAATAAGGGATTAGTGAAACCCCTTATGCCAGGTATGGCTTCAAACATGGCATTTGGAACCATTCTTATGCCATTTTCTTGTACTGGGCCAGATCCACCAAATTGCATGGCTTCACTGTTAAATACTGAGGCATTTTGACCAGCTATAGGCCTCGGAATAGGCTTGTACCAAGATTGAGGTGATGGTCTTTCACAGTTCTGATTACTAGTTTTATCATTAGAATGTCCATTAACTTGCATAGGCTGTTTATCTCTAACCAATCTTTGCTGAGGGACATTCGAAACTTCCTCCATGTGTCTTATGTTTGTTAATTGGTGGTTATTCATTCGATCCAAAAAGGATGTTGCCCACCTTTCCATTGTGTTCATTAATTACTGTCACATTGCATCTATTAAGCCACCCCATGGATTTATTGGCTGAGTAGATGGGACAGTAGATAGTCCAATTCCTTGGTCTCGTCCAACATTACGAACATATGGTACTTGTTCTGAAGTACTAGTCTGTTCGACCATAGGTTCTGATAAAATGGGAATTTCCACAGGATGTGTTATCACATTATCCTCTAGATTAGGTGTCTCTACCTCTCCTTCCATGCCTTCTTCCAAGCGTTCATTTTCTCCTTGTCTCCTGCGTCTAGCCATTTCAATTGGTCCCACTGGGTGTGCCAAAAATATATGTTGGCTTTTTGGCTTTCGAAGGTTATTATTGTAATTGCGAGCGTGCCAGCAAGGATCAATCAGTCTTTACAGAAATTTAATTGTCAACCAATTATCAGACGATTGTGTTTTAGTTCTCTCAGCCTCAATGAAGAGGACTTTTACTGGTGGCTTGATTTAGGAGAATTAAGCAAAATATCAATCAAATAAAGAACAATTGAAGCATTTCATTAGAATGAAAAACTTACAATGATTCAAACTCAGCCTCGTAGAGGTTTACAATGACAATATACTTGAAACTACTCCTATGAATGAAGTGCAGTGCAGGAATTTAAAGAACAGAAATGTAAAGAGCAGGAAATGTAAAATTGGGGAAATAAACTAAATAAAGTAGAATAAGACTGATTTTTTGGATCTGAGTCTGAGGGGTTTTTCTAGGGCATTCTTTGCTATTTATACTGCTCAAGGATGACCATCGAACTGCATTTCTAACCGTCGAACTGCTCCTCCATGATCGCTGATCATGTTGCCTCAAGATTAGCTCCATTACGCCATTACTTGCAGTTAGGCTTCCCTCATAAATTTGAATTTGAAATGTGAGTAACTATTGAAGCCACATTACCTTGCATCTCTTTGTTGATCCACTGCTACTCAATAATGCAAATTCCTAACAATTTCTCTGAAGGAATGAAAGATCTTAAAGTCTTAGATATGAGTAGCAATAGTATGCTTTCTTTGCCTCCATCCATTCAATTGCTCACTACACTTTGAACACTCTGCCTTGATTATTGCAAGTTGGGTGATGACATATCAATAATTGGAACTAATAAAGCTCGAGATTCTTAGTCTTTATAGTTCTTGGATTAAAGAGGTCCCAGAACATTTCACCCAATTAACTCACCTTAAGTTATTTGATTTGAGATCATGTCGTGATCTCACGCGAATATCACCAGGTGTCATATCGAGTCTTCGTAAATTAGAGGAGCCGTACATGGCAAGAACTTTTGAGCATTGGGTAGTTGAAGAAGGAGAAGACAATTCAAGAACAATGCCAGCCTTACATTGTGTTTGGTTGGAGGATTTGGAAAGGGATTTGGAAAAGGAAAGAGAAAAGATAGGTGAAATGTGAATAAAATATACTCACATTTCACCAAATTTCACACAGGTTTTCTCTTTTCATTTTCAAATCCCTTCCCAAATCCTCCAACTAAATCCAGCGTAAATTTACTTTTTAGAAACGAAAGTGTACCATATTTTGGAACGTGTGTATCAATACGTAATTTGTTAGAGTATTAGCGTTTTCTGATAACAGGAATATATGCTTGCTTCACTTTTTATTTGAATCGAAATTGACAGGCATGAAGCAAAGTTCATCCGAAAAATTGTTAGAGAGGTTTTATGTAAACTGAAATATGCAATCCTAAATGTTGCTGTGCACCCAGTTGGAATAGATTCTCGTGTTGAACACATAAATTTGATGTTAAGCATTGGATCAGATGATATTCGCATGATTGGAATATATGGCTTGGGTGGAATAGGCAAAACAACCCTTGCAAAAGTTGTGTATAACCATATTTTCCTCCAATTTGAAGGGAGTTGTTTTCTTGCAAATGTTAGTGAATTTGCAGGACAATTCAATGGCCTAGTTCAATTGCAAGAACAACTTCTTTTTGAATTATTAGGGATAAAGAATCTAAAAATTGGTAGTGTTGACAGAGGAATGAACTTGATAAAAGAAAGGCTCCATTCTAAAAGGGTTCTCATTGTTCTTGATGATTTGGATCAATTAAATCAGTTAAATTCCTTGGCAGGAAATCGTGATTGGTTTGGTCCACAAAGTAGAATCATCATAACAACTAGAGATCAGCACTTGTTGAAGGAACTGAAAGTTCATGAAAGATATATGGCTGAGGAATTAAATCACACAGAGTCTCTGCAGCTTTTCAGTTGGCATGCTTTCAGAAAAACCAATCCATTAGAAAATTATACAGATATTGCAAATGATATAGTACGTTATGCTGGAGGACTTCCACTAGCTCTTGAAGTTTTGGGTTCTTATTTGTCTGGAAGAAACATGATAGAATGGATAAGTGCACTTGATAAATTGCAACAAATTCCTCATAACGAAATTCAGAAAAAACTTAGGATAAGTTTTGATTCACTAGATGATGACAAAATGAAGGGTATCTTCCTTGATATTGCATGCTTTTTCATTGGAACAAACAAAGACTATGTCATTACTATACTTAATGGCTGCGGTTTCTGTGCCGAAATTGAAATTAGTGTTTTGATTAGTAGATGTTTACTGAGAATTAATGAAGAAAATGAGCTGACAAATCCATAGAAAATAATTTTCTTCCGAAATTATTTACGAAGAAAGGAAAAAGGGAAACAAATGAAAAATTCTGTAAACAGAATAATTCGATTCTGTCTTAAGATTGTTGGAACAATCTTCTGCGTAAATAAAATAACTTGAAATAATTCAAACAAAATAAATAAATAACTACCGAATTTAATTATCGAACCGAATTAAAAATAAAGACAAGTCGAGTGTGTGACACTCTGTCCTTAAGACAGATTCGCCCCGCTATGGTACTTACGGTTGAGTGGTGTCTATCTCCCAGGATACAATGATCTTCACAAATTGTAGTAGTACTCCAAACAATTTGTTCGGCGAACCAAACCTGTGTTCTATAACTCTCTGAAATTTATTCCTAATATTTTATATGAAGAATAATGCACTAAAAGAAAATGGACAGCAAAGAGACAAGAATTTCAGACTGAATTTTTCGGATCCCATGGACTGCTGAAAATAGATTGTATTTATAGGCAAACAAAGTCCCTGAACAGGCGCAACAAATTTAAATGAACAGATGCCCTTTCTAAAAGAACAGGTGCACAAGTTGTATTCAAATAATTCTCGATGTCCTAAATGTTGGATTTATGGCAGTATATATAGGCAACCAACCACTGCCCGAACAGGTCCAAATAAATAATGAAAAGGTGCATAAAGCCTATGAACAGGTGCACCTTTTACTATTCAAATTTGAAGTGTGGTTTTGACCGTAGTAGGAACAAAATTCCAAATAAATTGAAAAGGGACCCGTTGGAACAGTTAAGGAACTGTTTCACCTTTATTGTTTAAACCATTTAATATATATATATATTAAACTAATGAAAACATTTATTAAACTATTTTGAATAGTTTAATCATTTTTTAGGAAACCACCATTTGAATTTAGAATTAAATTAAATTCCCACAATTACAAACTTTAGGAAACCACTCAAGAATCCAAATTTTGAATTTAGAATTAAATTAAATTCCCACAATAATTTTTATTGAAAAAATTCAAATGAATTTTATCTAAAAAATTAATGTTAGATCCGAAAACGACGTTAACTTCCCATTCACTCATAAATGGTTTTGACGTTCCGTTTTCGCCGTGTGACTTGCCACGCGGCAAGGAACACGTCACCTCTTCGGACTCACCCCAAAGATGTTTGGGACCCACTCAAATTGAGCTAAAAAATATGCCTATATTAAACCATTTTTCCAACACAACATCACACACACACACAGACACAGATCTGAGTAGAGAGACAGAGAGAGAGATTTGAGAGAGAGATCTGCCGTGGTGGTGACGAGACGAAGCGCAGAGGAGGCAGCAACGGTCGCTACGATGGTGCGGAGCAGAAGCGACGGTCGCTGGGAGAGAAGAGAGAGAGTGATTCGGTGGTTTGGTACTTTGTCTCTGTGCTCTCTCTCTCCCTCCCTCCCTCTCTTTGTTTTCTCTCTTCAGATCTTCTCCTTACCTTTGCTCTCTCTCTCTTTCCTCTCATTCTCTCTCACTGATTCGACAGTGTCTATCTCCGTCTGCTCTTTTTGCTCACTGATTAAGAGGGTTAGGTGTATATAACTGAATAGATGTAGGGGGTATATATGTAATTTCAGCTCGGGGAAAAACGGGGCCGAGCCGGGGCTGAAAAACATATCACCGTCCCCGGCCCGAAAATTATCGGGGATTCATTTTCAAATACCATCCCCAACCCATCGGGAGTATTTTTTGAGAAAAAACCATGCTAATCGGGGTCGGAGGGTCAGGTCCCGTTGGGCCAAGTTTAAATTACCATCCTTAATCCACGCTGTTGCGGCCATAGCTTCACTAGCCTTGCTAAATCACGGGCCGTCCGATTGCCCAGCCGACCCACATGTGAACAATAATATTGGATGGTAGTTAAGAAAGATAAAATGTAATTATAAAGAAAGTTGTGGTGCACAATAGCCACGGTACATTTAGCATTTCTCTTATAATAATTTTAAGAAAATATATATATTCTTTTATAAAAGAAAAAAAAAAGTTTCGCAAGGTATCATAATATTTGAAGACTTTGATTTTAAAATAATCAATTGATGAAGACTTTGATTTTAAAATAATCGATTGACAGTCAGATTTAATCTAACTCATAAAAAGTTTGGGTGATGCTTAAGAAATTTATATGCAAAGGCCAAAAAAATAAATAAATAACAATAAAATAAATCTTAATTCCGTCTTTTTGGTAAGAAAAATTATTTTATCAAATAAGGGCAGGCCATACCCAGTAGACAAAATATTAATTTATATTAAAGTTTGAGAGAAATAACAGAAAAAAAATTTCAAACAAGTGAAAGGTAGGCAAAATAATTTCAAAAGGATAGAAGTACAAATGATTTATGCATAAATTTAAACAAAATTTGTACCGTCATTGTTTTAAAATTATTTTTCTTATCCTCTACTTTTTTATATTCTCCTAATGACAAATAGGCAAAAGAGTAGACAACATTCCCTCCACTTCTCATAAATGGGATTTGTAACCCAAGATTTGAAATAAATAGCATTACACAATCCCATTTGGTTCCATTAATTATTTTCTCAACAAATCCTACAAATAAGTAATTCATATCATCACTGAATTGCGTCTCAAAATGACCCCATCAAGCCCAACAGTTCCTCTCCAATTGGATTACCAATAAGAGAGAGAGCCATCCTGATGGTTGTTTGCAATAGGAATTTGAATAAAAAATTAAAAAGAAAAAGAACAAAGATGTATAAAATATAATTATATTTCATTCATATTTCACATAAAATTTTTCTTTCCTTTCCAAATTACCGTCTTAAATTACTTTTGATGAAAGCTACCTTCTGATAACTTCATTGAAAATGAAATGTTTCTTCAAAATGACTTTTAACATTAGGAAGGACTTTAAAAAGTCTAACCAAAAGGATGTACATATTGCTATCCCTCAAGCACATTTCCTCACTATTTCTTTCTCAACCTATGCCCACAAAAGGATGTACATATTGTTTTTTTTTTTCCCCAAATAACAAAAAACTGAATTAAATTATGTCAAAAAAATTCTCCTTTACCTATTCAAAGATACAAGTTGGTCCAAATTCTATTGGTATTTTTTAAACTAGTCAAGCCATATTTCAAAATGGCAACTCAGCTAGGATGAAGGCATGAATAAGGCTCTGAGCAGCATGTAATTGATCTGTTGTTCCTGATACTACCACCACACCTTCAGTAGCCCCGGGCCTTGGATCATGAACAACTACCTTTGCACCTGAGATCTGGTTTCCAAAAATAACAGGACACAGTTTAAATCTTGAACTATCTATTGCACTTTCTTATTGCAAATCTAAACAAGTGGGGAAAAAAATCATAATATTGCATTGATATTGGCATACCTGTCTGATCTGACTCAGGTTACTATTATTCTCGCCATAAACATGGCTTAACAATGCCTGAGGAATTACAACCTCGACAGTTGTGCTTGCTGCATTTGGGGGGCCCTGACTTCCACTGCACAAAGTAATTCATTAGCATCATAAGAGAAGCAAAAGTAGAATTCATATAAAAATCCCATAACATCAGAATTAAGAGAATTAGTTTCTGATCTTCACGTAAATGTCTCGCATCAATATACACAATTTGAGAAAGATAGCATCAAAATATTTTCTGCTACTCTTTATTCCGTTTTCTCATAGTCTAGTTGATATTCCCCAATAAAATCCAGAATCCCCCAATAAAACCAAAACAAGGAAAGCATGTGACATGTTAGCAGGATTCCCAATATGTCAGTTACATTACCACACTAATGATTTTGACTGAATATATCACGTACATGCCCCTTATAGAGGCCATGATACATAAACCAGGTACTTTCATCTAAAATTGCATGGTGGAAAAACCAAGTGATGCTAGCTTAACTCCAATGCATTAGTATGCTTCAATGACAACACAACACATTGATTGAAGAGTCAAAATGGCCTTGCTAAAGCTAAAATGGCAAGCCAATTCCCATATCAATTTTTAAAATGGTTTTGCTAAAGTTAATTTTTGGCTGAGCAAAAAAACCATTTTTTAGCTGTACCACTCCAGTGGTTCACAAGCTATTTTAACACAACCAATTCTCATATCAATGTTTAGCCATTGGATCTATTCTTCAAAAAGTCTCATGTGGTCATGATTTACTTTGTTGATGTGGCAATAACGGTTTTGCCTTGCCAAACTTCAAGCCAAATTTGGCACAAGATTTGGCTTTGCCACTTTTTGGCAAGACATTTAAATCACCATTGGAGAAGATTTTTTGAGATGTCTAGCCAAAAAAAGTGTCTTTGGCAAGACTTATAGCTTTGCCATGCAGTTGCTCAAGTTCGAAATGAGCATACAATGGAATATATAATGGAGAATACCATTACCTTCCTGTAGGACCATTGCTCAATGGAAAGCCACCTCCAACATCAGCGACTCCCCTTGGATAGCCACTTGCACCGGCACCTGCACCTGCCTGAAAAGCAAAAGGCAAAAAAGAAAAAAGATAAGCGAATATGGTGACCAAAAGCCACTTATAATTTATTGGAGAAGTTAACAGCCCAAAAAAATAAAGACAAAAAGTAAAGAAAAAAAAAATTGAAGATTTAATTTCACTACCTACTGAAAGCACAAGCTACCAACCTGAGGTATCCACCCTCTTGGAGGGGATTGCCTATCAAATAAAGGACCGTGTCCTGGTCTCTCACTGCCATAATGATAGGGAGCGCGATCAAAATAAGTCGGACCAACATGATCCCTACTGTGTGAAAAAGGCTGGGGATCATGATGTTGAGATGGAATAGCAACACGATCACGGTCAACACCACGAGGAAGTCCAACTGGTGAAGGGTAAGGACCTGGGGAAGCAGGATCATGCCTTGGCCTAAACGGGGGAGGCATCATATCTGGATAAGAGGGCAAATATGATGAGCCACTGGCATTTGGAGGATGTGGTCTGAATGGGAATATAGTTTCCCGAAGCCTGCTTGTAATTTGAAATAAAGCATCCTGTACAGACTGCAAGCTGCCAATAATCTGCCAAAAAGAATCAAGTGCTGAGCATCCCTTAAAACCATCTATAGGTGCATTAGTCTAAACATTTTAACTTCAAATAAACAAGTGAACAAATGTCGTAGACTTGTTAGTTCCAGAAAATAAAACTATCTCAAAAAGCTACGAAACAAGCATGAGTTCACCAGCTAATTAATCCAGTTACAGTTAATAAGTTAAAAAGCCAGACACAGCATCAAGATGACAATTTTATTGTATGTCTCATCCCCTTCCCAAAAAATGTAATATGCATAAAAAACCCCAAATACTAGCAAAAAAGAACACTCCAAATCCTCGACAACTTATAGATTCCAACAAACTAAAACCTTTTGATTCAATTGCAAAAGAGCTTTGAACAAGCAAGTACTACTGGGCTAATAGCCCATCTCATGACAGCATCTAAAGCAAATTAATTAGGCAGATGAAGCATGATATTAATAGATAATGATAGAAAGATTAACATGTGTTCTTGATAGAAGCCTAAAATCTTTGACTTACCTGCACAACTTCTTCATTCCGAGAACTGAATTTCGGAATTTGTTCCTTTGGAAAAACACGTATACTAGCCCCAGTTGCTCTTCTTAATTCCGCAATGATGATACCCCCTTTACCCAATAGACAACCTATCTGTTGTGAATGTACAAGAATCCTAGCAACAACTGCAGCACCAGGCTCAAATCCAATCTCCGCGATTCTACAATGCACGCGGATAACAGCATCCTGTGCTGGAGAATGTCTTTGCTCTGAATTCTGTAACAGGTGAAAGAAAGCAAAATCATGAGTAATTCTTACCAGAGAAAAAAACCCATAGAAAAAATGAACTACAAGAATAACTCCTAACACCATACTTCCATTAACATCCAATGGGTAAGTAACACATCAAATCATGTGACTACTTACTGACCAATTGGAGCCAAAGCCAACATAGAACAATGGCACACTGTAGGCCTGAATCTGAAAGGATGGATGGGTCAGAGAGCCCACTCGTGCTGTTTGTCAAAAAAAAAAATTTTGACTTAATGGTGGGGCATGTAAATCTCTTCCCATATGATAAGTCCAAAAAGACATTGCGTGGAAGACAATATTTAGAATGAACAATCATCGTCATTTGGACTATCCACATTAAAGATTTTCATAGTATAATCAGATCAGTGCAGGGATCCACCCAACTGCTAACTATTAACAGCTCACTAGTTGACTAAACACAGGTATTCATGCTGTCATGGAAGACTAATCTCCGTATTAAATCAAGAGGCAAAACATATTGATGATTACAAGATAAGTGAGAATATTTCAGTTAATATAAAACAAGAAAGTGTTCAATCATTCATATTAGATTGTTAGCTCACATGCCTCTCGTGCAAATATTACAACCACCCTCTCATCTGAATCAGAAGCTGCATCAGCTATTTTGATAGTTGCACCAGTTTCATTCTGCAATGCCCGTATTATAGAGCCACCTTTCCCTATCAAACTCCCAACTTTGTCAACTTGGCACAACAACTTAAATACAACCTCCTCCTCCATTACCATCCTGTGGTTGGCTCCAATATTCTCAGTACCTGTAAGAGAAGGATATCACTGAAAAGATAGCCCAAACATATTAAGATTAAAAGTCTAAAAGCATAACCCAACTGAAGAAATTGGTCCTCCTGGACCATCATACCAGTTCCATGGAGTGCCATGCCTGATGATCCGGGAGTAGTAGAGTTCACAGCCTCTGCCCTTGGGTTATCTTGAAGGCAGCTTGAAACAGACAATAATGCTTTTTTCACAGCTGGAAAATTCCCTGTTATCTGCATATGGAGCACGACATTACTAAACGAGAACATGAATATAAGCTAAAAACTAGAAAAGGAGGCACAAAATATTAAAAACAGCACAGTTCACAGAAAGGCTAACAGAAAATACTATTCAAAAAATTGATATAACGTACACTTTCATTTATGAGCCAAAAACCAAACTGGTCAGACATGTAGACGTTACAAGACTGCAAGATATTGCAGGAAATTGAGCAAGTAATGTACAAAATAGTACCAAATTTCCTATAAAATTGGATCTCAGCAGCATCTTACTAATGCAAAAACCAGCAAATTGAAATGACATAATTCAGCATAAAGGCCAAGAAAACATGAGTTCAACTGTAATTTGCCTCCATGAATATAGCTCATTCTCCATTATTAAATACCATCACAGCTGATGGAACAATTCAAAACTGTCCACAGTTACATACATTTAAGATTTATTTCAACCTTGTTAAAGCAAAACCCTTGTATGGAGTCCACCAGAAGGGATAAACACTGAATTCTGGCTTAATTTATTCAAATGACCATTTTACTTATTTTTCTGAAATCTCCTCCTTTCGTGTATGCACATATAATTCCTCAATTCCATTTCCAATAACCACATGCTTCATTGGTAGGGGGAAGGGTTCAAACCCTTCTGGCATTTCATGTTCGGATGGCTGCCCAGTGACAGAAGAGGAAGAACAGATTTCATTTACTGAAACGATGACCTATTTTTCCAAACCACAAGTCTTGTTGTATCAAGAATTGTATGATGCATCAGCAAATTTTGGAAATACAAAGGAAATTGTATGTATAGATGTAAAAATACAGTACATAGAAATACAATAGTCCTTTAAGGATGTGATCATGTTGTCAACTGTAGAGATGGCAACAGGGTAGGTTTGGGACAGGGCACCCCACTCCTGACCTTGCGCCCACCAAGGAAGACCTGTCCCCAACTCAGAAGCAAGACAATCCCAACTTTGCCTCAATCACAGCCCAAATGGCCTCTCCCCATTCCCACCCCAGCACAAGAAAGTAAAAAATAGACAACCAAAGCTCAAGAAAAGTCCTCTCTCCTTTTTTTTCTTTGTTTTTAAAATTGATGAAATCGTCAACTTTGATTCATTTTGAGATAATTTTTTTTGGAGAAAAATCCACACCTAGACAAAGTTCTCAATTCAAAAAAATTAAAAAATAAATTCATAAAGAGTAAGAAAAATATTTGCATCTATATATATGTAATCACATATATATATTAGTCAGAGCATTATCTAAGATGCACTAAGATACCTGAACATAAAGAAGATGGTTTTAGGTTGTCCTCTCAAGCCGGTAATCATGGTGTGTCGGTGTGCATCCAAATAAATAGAAGACCAGAGAAGGGAAGATAAGAGCGAGGCGCACAGTTTATTAAAAACCCTATATCTTATATGTATATATAAAAGGTATATAAGGTAATTTTTGTGATAGAATAGGCGTGCTTTAGTATTTTAGACATAATCAGGATTAGAGATAGCAATTTTCCCCATTTTCCAAAGACAAGCCCTGCCTCTAACAGGACAGGTTTAAGTGTAAAAAAAAAAAATAAGGGTAAGGGCAGGTTTTGGGGGATGAGGTGTAACCCGAAGCGGGTTTCAAGCGGAGTAGGGTTTAGACCACCCCTCCCCAAATCTCCCCAATATACATATGAAATTACAAAATGCCCCAACTGTTTTTCTAAAGACATGTATATCCTTGCGTATATAATGGAAGCTACTAGGTGTCATCTCCTCATTTACATTTCAAGATGCCTACACTTGTCCCTCTCTCTCCACTAGTTTGTTAAAAGCCATTGCTTCTCATCCTCAACATTCACCACCCCAATTATTGTCGGCATCACCACCTAGACTATCATTGCCAGTCATCAACTCAACCTTATCCCAAATAACCATAAAGATACCCATCCTATTAGGGGAGGGGAGGGGAGGGGAGGGGTAAGGTAGAACGAGTACGCAGAGAACGAAGTTAAATTGGTTGCGTAAGTTTATAATAATGACACTTTAAATGCCATTTCGCATTTCCACCTTATATGCATATAAAATTTCAAAATTTTTTTGTAGAACACTACAAAAAATCTCAGTTTTTCCCTCTATTGGAAAGACATATGCCTTCTTCCTGTTTTTTTTTATTTTTTTATTTTCAAAAACTTTCCAGCGTCTTCCAACCTTGTAAACAATCAGAAATAATTTTTTCCCTATCCAAATATATCACCCAAATATAAACACATATTCCAGCTAGATTGAATATCCCATTCTATGTGCTAAATAATGTATGTTGATAGGAAATATAATGGTGTTACACATAGCATTGTAAGTTGAGCTGTTAAATGCATAGGTATTGCATTTCCCCTTTAACAGTTATTCAGGTTGATCTTCAAAATCATCCGAAGGATTTAGACTGCTTTGGTTTATATCTCATGTTTCTCTAGGTTAAGGAAACTCAAATTAGCAAAAACAAAATTGAAGGTCCTGCGTGGCATCATTATTTGATTCCTTTTTCTGAGCAGTTAACAATCAATTTTGATATGAACCCAAAAGTCTAAATAATACATAAAATACTTCCCTCAAACATGCAAAGATCACTTCAAACTTGCAAAGTTGGCTTCAAAGAATTCCTTTTATGAATTAAACACATGGGGAAAATGGTCTTTGACTTGGATTTTAGTAGCCTGACCAAAACAAAACAAAAAGAAAGAAAGAAAGAAAGAAAGAAAAGCTAAAAATAAAAAATAAAAAAACAACTGGGTTTTAGTAAAAATAACAAAGATCAAATTCTCTGTGTCTTGAAAAGGAGTGGAACAAAAAAAAAAAAAAGTGTTGGTCTGCCAGTGATCTAAAGCCCTTGAAGAGCCTTGGGAATTGTACTCAAGAGGTGGGGGAATAAAAAGAAAACGGTTCCTTCCGTTTATTGGGCTAGGCAAGTTATCAAGTTGCATGAGTGACATCCAAATCATGAATTTTGAATTTTTTATTTGTATAAGTAATATTGTGTGATTCCCTCTTAATTCACATAGATTCATTAAGATTTTCTACAATGTCAGATTTGAACTAGCAATAAATGTCCCAAGCAAGTCCAATTCAAATTGTATTTTAAATATTTCACACACGAATCATAAGTTCCCAAAGAAGATAGTTGGAATTTAAAATAATGCTCACCTTAAAATAAAAAAAGAACGTATTTAATGTTAGGAAGGCATCACTATTTTTTTGTCAAAGAAACAAAATCTTACTTGATAAAGATACATGTATAAACATTAACACTGATTCAAACTCAAATCCCTTTAAGAAATAAAAATACTTAACAAATGCTATGTTATGAGGATTGGCTTCCACTGTGAGATAAAGCTAAAGTCTGCAGATACCAATTAATAACAACAATTGTGCTGGTAACGACAAATTCAACTATCTATAAATGTCCGAGAAATCATAAATTTCATGCTTGCTGAACAAGTAAAGCAAATACAACGATTAAATGATTATAGTTATCTCACCACCTTTAGTGGAACCACTAAAAGTTTTGGATAAAGAAGACTTATTGTCACCTACAAAAGCAAGGTAAACATTTAGGTAACTGCTGGCCTGTTGTCCGAGCATATAATCAACAAGTCCCCAACAAACTCGTTCAATAGACGTGTCAAAAAGAAGACGTAAAGTCCCATTTCATCAAGTGGATCATCAAAATAAAAATATATACACATACTCCTTTCTCTTGGGCTTTTGCATTAGTAAGTAACTATCAACTATAGTTACCCACAAGCAACACACCAATTCACAACCCGCAAGCATTACAGTTTGAGCATATCATCATCTTTTTTGGCATAACCAAATGAACGAAAAGACAATGCAAAGGTAACATAATTGAATTGTTTACACAGTTTCATTCCTATGAACATAAAACACAAAGCATTATATTATATGAACAAATCGAGAAACAAAACATTACCTGAATCAATTCATCTCCCGGAGATGCGCACGCCGGAATCTGATCTTTAGTCAAAACCCTAACTTTAGCACCACTGTCATGTCTAATCCTTTCCACAATCTTCCCTCCTCTCCCAAGCACACAACCCACCTGATTACTCGGCGCCAACAACCTACACACCACTGGTACTACATTACCTCCTCCTTCCTCATCCTCACCTTTTTCATTCTCAGCAGAAGAAACTCCACTTCTTTCTTCATCCACCTTCAAAATCCTCTCAAAAACCCTAAGTAGAGCCTGCTGCGCAGGCGATCCCTCATCTTCACTGTTGGAATTGGAGTTCAAATTGGCCAACTCGTCGCCGATTGCGTCAACATTGTCAGTCCTCTTCTTGGTCGATTCGGCTGCGATGAGAATGACACGCTCTTCGCATCCGGGGACAGAATCGTCAATGCGAATCCTGGCGCCGGTATTTTCGCGGACCTGGCGGATGACGGCGCCGCCTTTGCCGATGACGCCGCCGGTCTTGGTGGCGGGGCAAAGGATGCGGAAGAGGGTTTCGCCGGTGGAGAGCTTGAGAGGAGGCGGCGGTGGCCTGAAGGTGATGGATGAGGGAGGGCCGGAAGACGGTGGATGGTGGTGGCGGCGTTTGGTGGTGGTGGGGGTGGGGGGTTCAGGCATGTCGACGACGGCGGAGTGGTCGAAGGGACGGTCTGGGACAAAGGAAGCATCCATTGAGAGTCTTGTTCAGTTGTGCAAGAGACGGACTTCAATTTTGAAGGCATAGACGGTGTCTTTATGGCTGGGGTGCGTACGCGTAGGGATGTCAATTTTCCGTCGACTCACACGTGTTTTTTCCGTCCCCATGCGAATGTGGGGGTGGATAGTATAGTAGTATTCGCCTCCTTTGGTTTTGATTTAAATGGAGCCTCGAGTGCTGCTTCGGAGTAAATTGACATGGGTTCAATTTTGGCGTAGGGGACTATAAACTGGCTCAATTGCTATAGACATATGAGAGGACAATATTTTATGTAATGCCTATGATTATTATTCTTACAACAATGTTGGATGCTCTGAATGGTTCAAAATATTCAAAACGACGCTGTTTTTTCGTATAAAATGACGTCGTTTTGACACATTTGAGCCATTCGAGTCACATAAATTCGGACCACCAAGCATTTTTTATTATTCTTATTATTAGTTCACTTAGTATTACTTGCTCTAATTTAGATTAAAAATAAAAATAAAAAAGTGGATCACCTCAACGTCTCGCATGGGACTTGAATTCACAATCGGAAGTGATTGAGACCCCCTCTCCCCCCACTCTCACCACCCCCACACACACGGGGGGTTGGTGATTGGAGGAGGAAGAGGGAAAAAAAAAAAACTGGCCAATCACATAGCAGAAGGGGTTGTGGGGTTCGAATCATTTTTGTTTTTATTATAAATGCTATAGAATATATCATTATAGTACGAGGCCACAAGTGTAAAGGTAAATATTACATGACTAAATTAAGGAGGTATTTTTGTTGGGTTTTGATGTGGGTGAAGATAAGCATAAAATAAATTATATATGTGTTGACTTTTTTAGCTTTCGAAGATTAATAATGTAAATTTAAGCATGCCAGTAAGGATCAATTAATCTTTACAGAATTTATAATTGCCAACCAATTATCAAGCGATTGTGTTGTAGTTCTTTCAGCCTCAATGAAAAGAACTTTTACTGGTGGCTTGTTTAGGAGAAATTAGTAAATAATAAAAAGTGAAGAATAATTTCAAAATCTGAATTTCATTAAGTAAATGAAAACTTACAATGATCTAACCCAGCGTCGTAGAGGTTCACAGCAATAAAGTATTTGAAAACTACTCCTAGAAAATGAAGTGCAATACAGGAATTGAAGTACAGAAATGTAAAGAACTGTAAAACTGGAAAGAAAATGAAGTAAATAAAATAAACTGATTTTTTGATCTGAGTCAGGGGTTCATTATGGGGCATTCCTTGCTATTTATACTTTTCAGTAGTAACCGTCAAAGTGGGCTTTCAACGTCAAAATGTCCTCCCATGATTGCTGAACCTGTTCTCTTACAGTTAGTCCCACTACGCCACTCTTGCAGTTAGGCTTCCATTCTGATTTTGAATTTAAACTTTATGACTAACTGTTAGGCCACATCATCTTGTATCTTTCAATTGTTTTAGTACTACACAGATCCATTATTACTAATACGAGCTGTCATGTGTCTGACTTTGATTGGCGACTTGAATTAACTACCCAAATTGCCTTTTTCGTGTCACGTGTTAAATTGTGATTGGTTTTTACAAATTATACAGCCAACATTACCCCCCGCATTAATATACCAAATACTTGGTGATATTAGTGAACTAGTGTAATCTACTCACGTTCTAGGACGTGTATGGACTCTAAGTATAACTGCTTTTTGAATAATGAAGCAGTGAACTTTATTAAATCCTTGTGCTTTCCACTTCCATTCTTTGAGTAAACGAAAAGACTGGTACATCCCTAATGGCCAATCACACATTTTCTTGTATTGATCGAGCATACGAGGAGTCTTTGGAAGATGATTATAGGCCTCGAAAGAACCTTAATGCATTTATTGGTTACACATATCCGCCTACATTTATACAAGTCATGGAAGCTTTTGCAAATTACCAACCTTTGATCCAAAAATCTGCCAACTACAAACCCTTGGACCAAGCATTTGTAAAAATGGATCTTTAAATCTCCTCTTCTGCCCTATCACTCTCTGCATGGGACAGAACTGCTTCTTCTTCCTCCAGGTTTACTGGCTGGGAAAATTGGCCAAAACTTGATGAACCCAAATTAAGGGAGCGGATTCATTATCGATTTGTTAAATTCGATGATCCCCTTTCTGTTCTTTCTTCTATTCGAAGCTCAGTGGTTTACCCCTATGTACCCATTGATCATCGACGCAGTCTGGAGGACAACTTACTTGTGGCGTGGTACACGTCTTCCATGCCGATGAAGATAGTGCGAGAAACTTCTTATTCAGACGAATCACATGGATACAATCCGTTATTCTTGGCTAAGAAAGCAAAACTTTGCTCTTCTGACTGGCCCAAATGCGTGAATAACCCCCAATTCCCCTCTTCCTCCGGGATGGATCCCTCTACACCTCCTCTCCCTCAAAATCCTCATTAGATAGGAGAATTGAAACTTATTCTTTTCGAGAATCAGTTTTTACCTTCTTACTAACCTCCAACTCTTCCAACTGCATTTGAGAGATACCAAGCTCAACTTTTGCTTGTTGTCTTCTCTCACTTGCCTTTCAATGTTCTTGGAGAAGAGATTCCTTCAGAATTTCAGTCAATCAGTCACTTAACATGCTTAATCATAGATTAGCACTAATCAGTGGTGAGGGTTGTCACAGTCTCCCCTCCTTACAAAGAGTTTGATCCTCCAAACTCGAATTACCTTCATTTTGGAAGAATACTGGATTTAGTAGGAACAGTTCAGGATATCTCTTGATCATATCGTCTTCCCTTTCCCAAGTGGCATACACGCCACCATGGTTTTGCCAATCCGCTTTCACTAACGGAATTTCTTTGTTCCTCAATTTCTTGATCAGTCTGTTTACAATCTGAATAGGCCGTTCTTCATAAGTGTAGTCATCACTTAGCACTACACGGGTAGGTTCAATAACATGAAAGGGATCCCGAAGATAATTCCTCAACATTGAAATATGGAAGACATTATGCATATGCTCCATTTCAGGAGGAAGCGCTACTTGATACGCCACCGGATTGATTTTCTCAATAATCTCATACGGTCTTACATATCTCGGCGCTAACTTACCCTTGACTCCAAAACGAGTCTGGCATTTCATCGGTGTCACTTTAACAAAAACGTGATCACCTGCTTCATATTCTCTGTCTCGCCTTCGGACATCCACATAACTTTTCTGTCGGCTCTGTGCAGTTTTCAACCTCTATTGAATCAGTTTCACCTTTTTTGTGGTTTCCTGTACAATCTCGGGCCCAAGCAAAGGCCCATCTCCAACGTCTGCCCAGCAAATTGGAGATCGACATTTCTTGCCATATAAAGCCTTGAAAGGCGCCATACCAATGCTTGAATGAAAACTGTTGTTGTAAACGAATTCAGCCAAAGGTAAATGGCTTTCCCAATTTCCTTGGAAATCAAGGACACACATACGCAATAGATCCTCTAGAGTCTGGATGGTTCTTTCTGACTAGCCATCTGTCTGAGGATGGCATGCACTACTCAGTCTCAGTTCAATACCCAATGTTGTCTGTAGACTTTGCCAGAATCTCAATGTAAACTTCGAGTCCCTATCAGAAACAATGGACACAGGCACTCCATGCAATCTAAGAATCTCATCAATATAGATTACAGCCAATTTGTCCACATTATAAATTGTTTTGACAGGTAAGAAGTGAGCAGATTTAGTTAATCTATCAACAACAACCCAAATTGAGTCCATACCTTTACTGGAGCGAGGTAAACTGAGAATAAAGTCCATAGTGATATGTTCCCATTTCCACTCCGGTATCGGTAAAGGCTGCAGTAAGCCTGCGGGTCGTTGATGTTCAGCTTTAACTTGTTGGCAATGAAAACATTTCGATACAAAGTCAGCAATCTCTTTTTTCATTCCTGGCCACCAGATATTCAGTTTCAAGTCTTGGTACATTTTCGTATTTCCTGGATGGATAAACAGTTTCGAATTGTGGCCCTCTTGCATAATTCTTCTTTTTAGTTCAGAATCACTCGGTACACATAAATCTTCCCTGGAATTTCAACACATTGTTCTCAAATTTGAAACCCGGCCTCGATTTAGATTCTCCTTCATCGATGATCTTTTTCAAGAAGTCATCCTGTTGCTGTTTCTCTTTAATCTCTTCAATAAGTGCCGGTTGAGCAAAAATAGCAGCTAAGGTTCCACCTTGTTCACGCAAAACAATCTCAACTTCAAATTTTTCAAGGTCACCTAGCAATTTTTTCTGTCCGGTGAGTAAATAGGCTAAATTTCCAATCGATTTCCGACTCAATGCATCGGCAATGGTGTTAGCTTGCCCCGGATGGTACAAAATTTACAAATCATAATCTTTTATTAGTTCTAACCATCTTCGCTACCTCATGTTCAGTTCTTTCTGTGTGAAGAAGTATTTCAAACTCTTGTGGTCTGTATACACCTCACATGTTGCCCCATAAAGGTAGTGACGCCAGATTTTCAATGCAAATACTACTATAGCAAGTTCCAAATCATGGGTTGGGTAGTTCTTTTCATGTAGTCTCAATTATCGGGAAGCATACGCAATCACTTTACCATTCTGCATTAAAACACATCCCAAACCTTTATAAGAAGCATCACTAAATATAGTATAACCATCCGTACCTGAGGGTAGGGTAAGAATCGGTGCAGTCACAAGTTGAGTCTTTAACTCTTGGAAAGCTGATTCTCTCTGATCGGTCCAGTCAAATGATATCCCCTTTTGAGTCAACTGAGTCAATGGTAAGGCAATCTTGGAGAAGTCTTTCACAAATCTCCTGTAATACCCGGCTAAGCCTAAGAAACTTTGAACTTCTGTAACATTCGTCGGTCTAGGCCAATTCACTACTGCTTCAATTTTCTGCGGATCAACTGAAATTCTATCCTTACAGATTACATGTCCCAAAAACATAACATTGTCAAGCCAAAATTCACATTTTGTCAGTTTAGATCCAGTTTTTGTTCTCTTAGGGTCTGTAGGGCAGTTCTCAAATGGTGTTCATGTTCTTCCGTGCTTTTGGAATAAATCAAAATGTCATTTATGAAAATAACTACAAATTCATCTAGGAATGGTTTGAAAATTTTGTTCATAAGATCCATAAATGCAACAGGTGCATTGGTAACTCCGAAAGGCATAACTAAGAATTCATAATGTCC